AGAACTACTGCTACCAGGTCTGCCTCACGCCCGAGTCCGCCAAGACCGACCTCATGTTCCTCAAGCCCTGCAGCCCGGCCCGCAGCGCCGACGCCGAGCACAGCCCGTGCGGGGCCATCGTCACCGCCTACGCCGACCAGCAGCCCGACATCATCTCCAACGGCAGCATCCTGTCCAGCGAGGTGAGCCCCTGCTTCTGCCCCCTCCCCTCCCCTCCCCAGTGCTGGCCCCCTTCTCTCCCTGCCCTGTTGCTCTCTCCTTCTCCCAGGCCCCCGGGCTCTTTCCGGGCCACTGAAAAGTTCAGGAGGGTGTGGAGGCCCTGCAACAGGTTACCCAGAGAGGTAGGAGGTGGGGAGTCTCCATCCTTGGAGGTTTTGAAGACCCGGCTAGACAAAGCTTTGGATGGGATGATCTAGTTGGGGGTGGTCCTGCTTGAGGCAGGGGACTGGATCTAGTTGGGGATGGTGTTGCTTTGGGGCAGGGGACAGGATCTAGTTGGGGGTGGTCCTGCTTGGGGCAGGGGACTGGATCTAGTTGGGGGTGGTCCTGCTTTGGGGAAGGGATATTGATCTAGTTGGGGGTGGTCCTGCTTGAAGCGGGGGACTGGATCTAGTTGGGGTGGTCCTGCTTGGGTCAGGGGACTGGATCTAGTTGGGGGTGGTCCTGCTTTGGGGAAGGGATCTTGATCTAGTTGGGGTGGTCCTGCTTTGGGGCAGGGGACTGGATCTAGTTGAAGGTGGTCCTGCTTGTGGCGGGGGACTGGGCTTGATGCCCTCCTTAGGTCCCTTCCAACCCTCACTTTCTAGGATTCTTTTCCTACTGTTTCCTCAGCACCTGCAAGCTCTCTGCTCTCCCACCCCTGACTCTCACCTATCCAGCTGCACTGCAGTTGCCCCCTCCCCAGCCCCAGCTTGGATTTCCTCTCCTTCCTTTGCCTGGGAAGAATTCCTCCCCCACCCCCCACTCCCTTTTTTGAAACCCCCTCCTGTCCCTTTGATGTTAATGCTTCCCTGGTTTTAATCACATGCCCACCAGAGGTAAGTTTGACTTCCCACCGTAGTTTCAGTTGTGACGTTGCTGAAGCAGCACATCACTGTTGAAAGTACTGTGGGAAGCAGTGGCTTCTTTGCATTGGGAGCCAGCTGTGGTGCACTGGACCAGCCTTTCAGAAACAGTCGCAGCCAAAAGCCCACACCATGTGAATTTGAATGAAGCTTACTTAGTGCAGGCCATGTTGATATTTCAAGTTACATAATGACGCACCAGATCTTTTTCTTTTTTTTTTTAACTGGTTGCTGAAAATGAATGCCTTTTCTTTTCTTCTGGGCACTGCTCCTTGCAGAACTGCTGCAACTATCAGTTATGAAATTGCAGAGGCAGTGCACTCAGTTATTTAACACCAAAAGAGTCAAGAGTCTAAATTTTCTTCCAGAAGTCTTTGCATGTATGATTAAGTCTGTGGTGGGGGGAAGGGGAACCTTCCTCCGGGGCTGTGAACACCTCTACACTTGGCAAAAGCTTTAATTAATTTGTGAAGGAAAGTCTTTTGGTTTTTTTAATTAATTTAACTTTTCATGATTCTGGCTAAACAGTTCTTCTGCATACTGAAGCAGGACTTGAAAATTACAATAATCACTAAATAATTGCTCTGAAATCGTGTGTCAAAGCTCAGCACTCCCTCCCATTGTCTGTGTTCTCTATGCTGTATTATGTCCTGGAAACGTATGCGGAGGCTTACTGCTAAGCATTTTGTCTCCACTATGCTAAAGGGTACACCAATACATCTGTGGTGGCGTACCACCCTGAAAGAGGCACGTTATTTCTTAATACTGATTTATTGAGTATTCCAAGGCCAGCTGAGGCATTTCTAAGTCTTATTTTCTTTAAAAACCGTTTCACTCCACAATAAGGTTTTTAAATGCTGGTTTTTCCTGTTGATCCTTCATCAGATGTCTGTAAAAAGGTGACTTCTGTTGTTGTCCTTGGGCTACAGGGTGTCCCTTATTCACCTCTCCCTTCCCCTCCCCCATACCAGAGCCCCCCAGGCTTAGTTCTGTCTTTCCCATGATTTTTCTGTCTCCATTTTGCTTGTACACTGAGGTTTTTTATAGAACATACTCCAGATCAGATTGTAACACCCTTGCTCACAGGGAATAGAGCATTTTTCCCCCCTTCCAGAAGCAGTCCCATGAATTTCAGTGGGACTACTTGTAGTGTCAGATACTACTCAGTGCAAATAAAAGTATCAGATACTGGGCCTCAGTAACTTAGGGAAATCCCTGATTATCGATCTGTGTTCCCACTTGCACAAGTAAGGCCTTCAGGATTTAACTCCTATAGAAAATTTTATTTATGGCTTACCTATAGGTGTACATCTACCACAGAAAATAACTAATGTGCTTGGCTGTTCTGGTGTGCCATGTGCTGTCAATAGTAGTCAAGATATTGAGAGTTCAAATGTTTCCAATTATTTTTTTCTAGACAAAACATCAGCGTGCAGAGCTCAGTTATCTAGTTGATAGACCCCGACGGGTAAACAGGTATGAGCTCCTTATTCCTGGCTTCCCTAATGTGTGCTTTAGCGAGTGTGAATGGGATGCAAAAATGTTCGATACTAGCTAAGCAATGGATAAATGAATTTATTTAGACATGCAATTAAATAAGCAGTGCCAAGTGAATATATCTGAATTATGGGTTGTATGCCATCTGAAAAGAGAGCAAAATCTAATTTTGTACTCATCTCAAACATGCTTTAAATACTTATGAATCACTCTGTAGGTTCTGACAGATAATATTGACTTATCTGAACGCAAATTTAGCTTCCCAGCATAAGCAAATGCTACCAAATTATTTATAACAGCTGCATGTAAGAGAGGTGGTGTAATAATGGCCACTGTCTGGTTCAGTTGGATTATCAGTGCTTGAAAATGCAAGTTTGGTTCATGATGGGCAGACAGGCTGTAGTGCTGCAGAAAGGAGGTCTGGGTGAATGCAGCACCTTGTGTGGCCATGTGATGGCAGAAGAATGTTTTATGAGTTCCTCTTTCATGTTTATTCTAATATTGAGAATCTTTATGTTTCTAGTTCTGCATTCCAGGAAGCAGACATAGTAAGCTCTAAAGACAGTGGTCATGGAGACAGTGAGCAAGGCGACAGTGATCATGATGCCACTAATCGAGGTCAATCCTCTGGTAAGTCTGAGAAAAGAATCTAAATATTTGCTCTTGTAATAAGAAAGCCAGATAGGCTTTCTTATGTGTATCAATAAGTATAAGAATAAATATGAGTTTGCAGGTACACATGCATCATGTATGAAAGGTTATGTTGTTGGGTCAACTTGACATTCCAGCTGAGAGAGTCAGGAGAGTGGCTTTGAACCCTGATCTGCGGGTGTGTTTTATAAGTTATTTTGTATCACTGGCTTTAGGAAACCTTGCACATTAAGGCAAAGTTGTTAGTACATTTTACAGCAGACTACATTTTTTTGAATGACTGATTTGAGGGATTTCAGATCATTAGGTCACTTTGTTTACTAGCAGCTTCAGCTGGCATAGTGTATGAAGCTTAGGGGGGAGTTCCTGGGAGAAAGAATGAGCTTTGGGATTGAGTGACAGTTAGGCTGTTAAGATTTTTGCAGGGGCCTGGTGGAGAGGCACGGAGTGCTTTGAATATGTAATGTCTGATACCTGAAGATTTTTTGAGGATTGTTTATCATTCAGATCAAGGGACTACATGGTGGAACAATCTCCACATTAATGAGCATACGGCCTGTGATGGTCATGTCTTCAGTCCTGTGAAGCGGAAAAAATGTTTAAGCATACTACCATATCATGATAATGTATGGCTTAAAAATGTGTCAAGGAATATAATTACGTGTGGCTGTCTGTCTTTGCTCTTACATTAACATGTTTTTTGGTTTTTTTTAAGATAGCAGTTCAGTGTTTCTGTGGAAATAACTGGCACATTAACATACATGCGCATTTGTGCACATGTGCATGCATCCATGTATGACGCACATATGCAGACACATAGTGCTGATGTTTGACAGTTGGTCACAGTCAGTATAATAAAGGTGTGTGAACCCAAGATAAATTACAGTAGCCATTTTCCCCATTCTTTTACATCCCCTAAAATATTTTGCAGCAAGTGATTGGTGTAAGGTGATTCCCATCTCCCTCACTTTTCACCTTCTTTTCCCCTCTTGGCAGTTTCAGGAGCATCAAGGCAAAAAGGCAGCCCTTGCCTCACCTGGGCCAGGAGCTGGTCCTGCCAGGACTCCCTGCTTTGCTAGTGTGCTGTGCCTTCTCGCTGCTTTTGCCACTGTCCTTTTACCATGGGAAACCCAGACACTAGAGAGAAAGAAGGCCACTAAGAGCCCCTTTATATTGCTGCAAGTCATTAATATGCAGACCTAATCAGACTTGAGAAGAGCCAAGAGTCTCCGGAGCTCTCTGCTCCTTGCAGGGCTTCATGCTAAGTGAACAGAGCATCTATTTTGTGTCTGGGAACCTGACAACAAACCAGGTCTTGCCAGAAGTTTACATCTGAACACAGAGCCTCTTTCATTTTTGGCCTATATATGGCGTATGATTTATTGTTGTCTTAAAAAGCCATGCATTTAGCCTCCCCCACCCATTCTTTTGCAGAGTTTCTGATGCAGCAATCAGTGCTAGAGAGTTATAAAAAGCTCCCTCTCCTCCTCTCTCCCTCTCTGTGGTTTTTTGTTTTTTTTTTGGTTAGCTGCATTTAATTTTTTTTTTTACATGTTTTACTGCAGCACTCATCTCAGTGAACATTTCAATCAGTTTAGGCCCTCAACATAATGAACCATAATAACCAAACAGGAGAGAAAAGAATAAACATCTGCAAAAGGGGCTGGATTTGAAAGACTGATGGTGGGAATATAATCACATAGCTGCACATCAACCAAAAGCTGTTTTATTTTAGAAGCATCCAGTGCTGCTGTTATAATTATGCTTTAGTTCTTTTTTTCACTTCCTTGTAAAAGAACTACAAGTTACACATGAACATTGGAGTCTTTCTCAAGCTTGATACCAGTTCTTAGCCTGTGTGCGTGTATTGTTTGCTTGTTTGTTTTTAACAAATTAAGAAACAAAACTGATTTGTTATTTGAAGGTCATTTAATTTGTTGTTGAGTTCTCTTTTTCAGTAATGGCTTAATAGGCTCATACAATTAAAGCAGAGCATAGATACAACTAAATTACATTTGTCAATCACTTTTTGATCTAATCAAAATTCTTTTTTTTTAATTGAAAACTCGAACACACCTCAAACAAAATCCAGTTTTTATAAATTGCTACAATGCATCTAGGGTAATTTGCATAAAGATTTTTACAATTCATGTTCTAAATATGTACATGTATGGTACACCAAAAATATCTCCTGATATACTGGGTACGTGTATTATAGTCTACTGGAAGCCCTGGCCTGAATCCTGCTGTCACTGCACAGGACAGCACTTCCTCATTAACATCAGTGATGACAAAGAGAGCTTCAATATTAAATCTTCACTCATGCTCTTAGTATTTCTCAGTGGATTTGAGGAAAGGGTGAGAGTAAATCTTCTTTGAACTTAAATGGCTTGACGGAATATAATGTTTGAGGTCCTTCTTGCTTGATTTGTTTTAAATGCTGCTCCTCTTTATTTGATTCTTTCTAATTTAGCAGACGGAAAACACAGTGATTGATTGAATGGCTGAATACTGGCCTAGGCAAACAGAAAACATAATAGTTCATGTCTGCATTTTGATGATCAGCATAACCTCAGTGAAAAATTATGTGGGGGATTAATGTGGTGCTAAATGGGGCCCCCTTAGGCTGCTGCTTTCTTGACTTCTGATCTAAATGTTATTGTTTCCCATCTTTTTGCCTCAGCATCTGTCTATTTTTTCCTTCCCTTAATTCTTTATTTCTTCCTACCCTTTCCCAGTCTTTTTTTCCCTTCAATATTCCTTCTCATTTTGCTGTCATTGTACTTTTTTTTTTCTTTTTTATATTAGTAGCTGCCACAGTATAGTATAGCATCATATATCTGTCCAGAAATCCTTTATAAATGATTCTGGCTGAAGAATACAATTTATGCTTTAGCTAGTTCCACTGTTTACCTGGAAAACATTTTTGCAGTTTACATACTGTGTGACCTCTCCTTCTGTCATTAGCTATCCACTGCTTAGACCAGGAGACTATTGAAGACAGTGGATTATCAGTTGGAAAACATGGCACTGATGCTTCTACACAAACAGTTTTTCACGTAGCACAACTTTTTACAAATCACATTGAACTAACCTTTTACATATTACTGGCAAGATTCTCAGCTCATAAAAAAAACAGCAAGAACAAAAACCTGTTGTGCCATGGACTGAACTGAACATCTTTATTCTTCTTTTAAATGTGTCTTCTTAACAGTGATTGAATTTAAAGCTACTGAAGCGTTCGTTCTTGAGTCTATCTGTGTTAGATACCTATATGGGCCCAGTACTATACCATCTGAGTACATCACAGTCTTTAATGTATTTATATTCCCCCAACCACCGTAAAGTAGGGAGAATTGTTATCCCCATTTCACAGTTGAGGAACTGAGGCATACATAAATGAATAGAGAGATTTTCAGCAGGGCTTACATTGATTTGATTATAGTTGGGCATCTAAGCTGTTATGAAAATCCCCTTATAACTGACTTTCCCTAGGTCACATGGGGAATACTTGGAAGAGCAGGGAGTGGAGTTTCCTGAAATCCAGGCCAATACCCTTCTCACCATACCTTTCTTCCTCACTAGAGTCTTAGGCTCAAGATAGAGGACTGGATTTCCCCAGGGACAAAGCTTTATTTTGGGATCCTGCAGAGGTACAAGCCCATTGCCCCATCCTAAGTATCTGTGAAGAACCAAGATAAAACTTTCTCCCCACCCTTCCCCCTATTCCAATAATTCAGCTAATTCAAGCTAATTGTCCATTCAAGCTTCATGTGCCCGTTTTGATGGGAGTCAAAGTCCAGAACACTCAGCCCTGAGAGAAACTGGCTGTTTTTAGCCCTACAGACAACAGTCTGAATTTATTTGTAGAAAAGTTCCTTTATCAACTTATGAATGTACTTCAATCATGTTCTGGGTTTTCTTCCTACCTTGACATTTTTGGTCTTTCTTCTGTGGCTGCTGTCACACGTTAAACATAAGGCTGACTAAGTGCAGTTAAAACACAAGCAGGGGCACAGTCAGGCAGTTCAGTACATACTAAATGCCCTCCTGGCATTGGGGGTCATCTTCTACAGGTGTTAACTTAAATAGGTCATTACAGTGCACTGATATGCAACTGTTGCAGCTGAACTTGTGACACCACCCGGAGGCTGTCAACATGGATACCAGTCAGTGCACTGTGTGTACATGTGCCTTTAAGTAATATAGTATAGACACCTGTCCTCTAAGCCTTGGATTGATGCCATCAACTCAGCTCATGTAGCTGGTTACCAACTAACCATCTGGTAACAATCGTTTTCAAACATGGCATTTGTACTCAGGATCTGAGCAATTCTGTTCAACATTCAATTTACGTTACAAATTTAAAAGAACGTTTTAAAAACATTTGTTGGGTATATTTTCTGGCAGAAGTGTATGATAAACACTGCAGATATAAAGCTATTGTCCCATTAGCAAGCATACCCACCTGATTTGCAGCCTATTTGAATGATTCAGTACCAGGTGGAATAAGTTGGCGATATAGACAGAAATCTCTAAAATTAGTCCTCTCTTGCTATGTCTAGAACAACCAACTCAAGACTGGGCTATTGTGACATGCTTGTATGTGGGACTGCCTGTATGGACCATGTGGAAAGCTTTAATCGGAGCAGAACATAGTAGCCCATTTTCTGACGGGGCGGGCTATAAAGGGCTACCGCTGGACATTAGTCCAGTGTTCTAGATCAGTGGTTTCCAAACTCTGACAGATTGTGCGCCACCAGTTTAAAACAATACAACCTTAAGTATCACCAGCCCATTTTTGTCATATAAAGTAATTATAATAAATCTGTTAATGCGTACCACTGATAGGTTGTCTGTGTACCACTGGTGGTACACAAACCACAGACTGGGAACCGCTGCACTAGAGTCTGCAGTGGTCCCCATATCTTTCTAGGCACAATTCAAGGTGCTGCTTTTAACCTGTAAGACCTTAAACA